GGTCAGTAGTATCACTTTGGTCTATCAATGACTTGGCTTAAATGTTTACGCCTTCAAGAAAGAAAGAAATTTGCGTCTCGCCTCACTCTCCTGCAATTTTAGCGTAGATTGGCAAGCATGGCGATTAGCAATATGAGCTCCACCCACGTTCATATTTTGTTAATATTCTTGGTTGTAATTATAAAACCGGAGATGATTGGACGCGCCAGGGAAGACTCCCATGCTTGATGCCAAAACCTCGAATCCAGGGTACATCGTCTTTGACCTAGCATCGAGCATATCTTCACGAGACAGCTCACAAGTTAGATTGGCCGATACTCTGCGACGATATAAAAGTGACGGAACGAAATCAGATGGTAAGAGACGAGATAAGCCCAGACGATTGGCACTCACAAGAAAGAGGGAGACACAGACTTCGAAGAGGCCTATTGACCCCCACCTTACAGTAGTGCCAATCAATTCTGCTGGGTTGGCTGAAAGGTTGCATTGCCAGTAGAATACTTTTCTTGGACAGGAGGTCATCCATGTAGTGGTACTTGGAAATGTTGGCGGCGGCGAGACGCGCTAACTGCATAGAAAGTTCCGTTGCGAGCAGGCAAAAAGGTCAAGAATCAATGGACCGGCAGCTTTCTCGGTCGGCTCACACGAGTCATCGAGCTAAAGAGAAAGAAAAAAAAATAGTATGCCAATATGTTTCTTTGGTCTCTCGCTTCCCAATTGTGCGTGGTGTTCGCAGCAAGCCACTCACGATGCACGAAAGCCACGATGCAAGGCGGACTATTATCCAGCCCATCATCCATACTCACCCAACCTGCTACGTACAGATTCTCAGCTTCGAGAGAACACCCCAGTATGCGCTGGCATGGACCCCTGCTTTTGAGCGAATGAACGGACCTGAGTTCTCAACACTAGTCATGGTATGGCGCCAAGAAATGCACAACATGAGAGAGCGAACCGAGAGATCTCATGTCGGGCGACCTGTGCGCGCGGGCAAGCGATTTCGCGCTGGCGGACACATTGGTGCGATGCACATAGCTCAGGTAGATTAGCACTGCATACCTGCACCAAGGTACATAGATCCATGCATGGCTTGTTGGCAGTATGTACATAGTTTCGACTCTGCAGAATATGCGTGCGTAGCGGTACCGTCGGGAAGACCCACGAGTCAAGTCAAATCATGCTAAGAACGCCCAAAGCGTTTCCGAACCTTGACTGGTTCGCGACTATTTCCACGCCAAAGGGCAGATCTGTATGGGAGGGAAAAAAAAAAAAAAAGTTGACCTCGGCCGGTTCAGCAGCTAACCTATCGAACCTATCTGTCTACCTATCTCATGGCGCGATCTGGTCCGAAGTTCGAAATCAAACATCTTCGCCGCACTTTTGTTATCGTGTTACCGTAAATATTGTGACACATCGTTACCGCCGGAGCTCCGAGATCTCGAGTCTTATATGCGGTACGTTCATTCTTGTACCCTCTAGCTGTGCCGCATCTAAGCAAGCTGCTAAAGGCAATCAGTAGGACGTACAAAGAATACAATACCAAACGCCCATCACGTTATCAAATGGTCCAGGGGCAAGAAATGCCCCATGTTCCTCATCACAGAGTATAATAATTACATTTCTTATTTATTTCTTGGTTCTAGGATGTTTTATTTAATACATCTTTTTTTTTTCTCAAGGAAAAGCTATTGCTAGCTGCCGCTAGAGTTCCATAATAATTAAGACATTCTTTTTTTTTTCTCTGTTCGGAAGTATTGTAGAACCCACCGCCTTTTCGCTGGTCTCCGTCATTCAAGGGTTGAGGCAAATATACCCAGGTACTAATATATGTACGTAGTATTTTGGGGGCCACGCGCCAGTGCGCTTCACGCTCCAATCCCTTGCCAAACCTGCCAATGCCAACAACCATGTTTCGCCGCACAACCGCACCAGCGCACCTGTGCTGTGGCGTTATGGAGACAGACAGCCAGACAGCCAGACAGAGAGGAGGCTCCATGCGGCCAGCTAACGGGTACCTAGCTGCTAGGCAAGTAGTGGATCCCCTTTGCTGGAGAAAAAAAGCAAGAGGGGGGAGTGAGGGAGCGACGGGAGGCAAGAAAGGAAGAATTCAGATTGAATTTTGCCATGTACCTAGGTAGGCATCCACCAGAAGACGACGAGGTGGACACTCGGGCAGAGCGTGTGCATCTCAGAAACGAGCCAGCTGGCATAGTAAACTGCACGAACGACGATAATGTTTGGTGGTCAGTGGACACTTGCCTAGCTGGCCGTTGAAGAGATCTCCGCCTCTGCATGCAGCATCCCTTGGTCCCTTCAGGTGGAGGTCGACAACCCTTCTTTTCTCTCTCTTTCGCCTTGGACGCTCTGTCTGCACGTACGCACGTACGCACGACTCCAGCAATGAGGCTGCCCGACATTCAGCTTCGTTGTGGGCCCCCCATCTTGTGTAACCCTCTGGGTGGCATGGCATGCTCGCTGGCTGGGTCAGGCTTCGTTCACACCTCGAATTCCATGCTTCGATCAGGCTTCTAGCGAACGGGTCTTGTACACCATGAGCTTTCGAACCTCACCTTGCTCACCAGTCCCAGCGACAGCCAGCAGCGAGCATCCAGCAGCCAGCAACCAGCAGTAAGCAGCAGGCCCCTTTGCGGAAACCTCATCACTCCACTTACCACATGGCCCTAAACCCAAGATTGTCATTCAAGCTTTCCTGAGCCCCAATGCTACCTATGTCAGACGCTCTGTAACTCTCTGCGTTTTCCACCAGTGTCATCCCCACGAACCACCAACCCTTCATCGCAGAACAATTGGCACACTTGCGATACTAGTACACCCAGAACGTTGGTGCACTCACCTACCGCTCGACGGTAAATCCCCCCCGCTCCCCCTTGTCCTCGGAAACATCCATCCTATGCGACGTTTCCTTGCATCTTAGCAGTCAACGACTTCAGATCTACCGTCAAATCGGAACGTTGGATTCAGTCCCGACGCATCGCCTTGATTTCACCCCCCGATGTTCGCTTGGTTTTCGATGGAGAGACAGAGAAGAGGGGGGGAAGACAATGGGAAGGGAGCTCAAGCTTGGCTTCTCACCCCCCATCTTCCCTGTCAAAAGTCACTCATCCACCCTATGCAGCTAGGTACCATGTAGTGTAGTATTGTATGCTGCGTGAGTTGCAAGGGCTTGCGTGCATCAATCCCCGTCTTTTACGGTGGGCCAGAGGTCCCTGGATTTTTCTTATTTTTTTTTATTTCCCCCCTCTAAACCGTCTCTGAGCCTAGGTAAGCGAATTGTGGTAAAAAAGTCATTAGCAATATAGAGAACTTCTGCCATCCATTGAAGCGCTATTCTGACTTTTCTCTAGGTTCTAGCAGTCTCGTGTTAAGCGGCAGCTCGCAAAGCACTCAATGAGCAATATATGCCTCCGAAGGTCCCGAACTTCAGAGCAACAGAGTTTTTCCTCCCCTCCAACCACCTCACAAAACTGATTATTTTTCACGACTCTGATCACCAACGTCATCACACATTTGTGATTCCAGTGCGATCAAGGGTCATACTGCCGCTTTTCCTCTTCCGTGATGCAGCCATGACCCGACTCTAGCCTGGACAGGGGTTTGTGATGCCTCATTGGGCACCCCCACCTACACAACTCGTCCTTTTTTGAATTGATGCAGGCAAGCAAGCAAGTAGGTTCGTAGGTACGGAAAGCATAGTATTGCTCTCTCTCTCTCTCTCTCTGGCGCCGAGTTCGCGCCGATGGATGAATGCATGAATATCCCCATCCGCTGCCATATCCTTTCGATGCCTACACAGCAGGGACGGCAGAAACTAGCTGGTATTCAACAGTCGCAGTCCTACAGGACGAAACTGCCGCTGACTGTTTGCTCCGGAATGATTCAGACAACACGATACCTACCTACCGCGCGGTGTCGGGGTCTGTCGGCATCGTTGACTTGCCCGAAGGAGCAAAGCCCGGTAGCGATTTATTCCGTCTCTCGCCAACAACACAATACTAGCAAGTACAGATTACACACCCTCGTCAGCCATTCAGTCGGGTATGAACTCCATTGCACAGATGAATTCTTGCATTGTCCTCATTCGAGGTATAATAAAGTTAGGTATTACTACATGTGCCGGCGGCAACTGCCTGCCAATATGTCTGATGTCTTTGTTTTAGGGAATATTCTGCCTCAAGTTGGCAGCTTAAAGTCATGACACTTTTTAACATCTCCTGGGATTTCCCCCCCCCC